TGTACAATCTTGGTTCTTCTCTGAGGGCAATTTGCTGCCCATCCTTAGGGTAATACCAATGTTGGGGAATTGGGTCCCACTGACATTTAAAAGGTAGTAGCCAAGGGTGATGTTAAACGTCTCACAGTACACAGGACAGCCCTCACCACAAAGGGTCATCTGGTCCCAATGTCAATACACTTCACTTAAGAAAGTGTTCTACCCAATTCTGTTTCTTCTTTTCCCTTCCAGAGGTGTTGGTCCCAAGGTAATTCTTTTCTAGCCATTTTATACCCTAAACTCCATTACACAGTTGGTTTTCTAGGGAACAATTATACAACAGTGCCTTCAACAAGAAACCATGGTTTCACATGTATGTAGGAGACAAATCACTACATACTTGCATGAGTTTACCATATAGAACAAAATTGGGAGGACAAACACCAGACATAAGGAGTGGTTATTTTAAAGCAATGATGTGGAGACTGATTTTTATTGCTTTTCTTCGTGCTTAAATTGCCTGGGTTTTCCAAGATTTGAGTGTGTTTATTATTTTTATTTTTGCATTAAGCACATGCTACTTATGCAGTTGGGGAGGGACGTTATAAGTGCAAAGAAGGAGAGCATATGGTATCAAATATTGCAGAGAGGCCAAAAATAGTAGATCTGATAAAATAGTGGACACTAGATTGAATGTCACAATGACATGGGGAGAAAGTTGTATGGAAATGAGTGTGCAGGAAAGGAAGCTTTAATGGGATGAGAAAAAGGAAGGGGAGAATTAAGGTAGTCCACTTTTTACAAAAATATAACCAAAAAGAGAAACAGAACAATAAGGAGAGGGGGATGAAAGATCAACCCAAGCTTTCTTAAGGTCAGAGAACCTGAATCAGTTGCATGGGGAAGGACCCAAAAAGACAGAGGTGATGATAGGGGACATGCATAATTGAGAACGAGATGCCCGTGAGGGTGGGGGATAAGACCCAGGGAATAACACGATCAGATTGGCCTCGGCAGAAGCAAAGCTACCTCCTTCACTGAAATGAAAGGTACATTGAGTGCAGAGTTAAAACAGTGGCACATTCCCAAATGATGAAATGTGTGCCTGGTCTTCCTAGTCAGTAAGAGGTGAGATCTCCTGAAAGACTGGCTGGTGGGGCAGGGGCTTGAGCATGTCAGATCAAACAGAAATAACAGGAGAGGACTTGAAAAGGGGCCTGAAGCCAGTGCCTGCTGAACAGTGGTCCTATAAAATTGCCCTTTTCTGTACTCAGCTTTGAAGTAAGTACTCAGGACTGTTTGCAGGCAGTTTGAGGTCACTTATTTAACCCAGGCAAAGGAAATACCTCCCAACCACAATATTCAGGTGGCAGATCAGTCACAGGCAGGGTTGAGGATAGATCCAAAAAGCTTTTGAGATTAGCTATGGCTTCCCATACCTGCAGGATTGTCCCCTCTGTACATTCTTGAGGGGAAACTTAGGTAAAAAAAATCTGGAATATTCTGTGCTCCTTCCTGTATTGGGTACCAGCCTCTGTAGATTTCCTTAGTATATGAGATTTCACTGCCTTTCAGAATCCTCTAAAATTTATCTCCTATTATTTGGGATGAGCAAGAACAGAGTTCTGCGAAGTGTAAAAAGAAGACATGTCCTGCTGCATCTGTGCCTTTGTTTTCTCCCAAGCACTGTCACCCCATTCTTCTCCATTACACATCACTTCCAAGAAGCTAATGAGACTACTATGACATACTTTACTATCCTAGCAGACCAAGGGATTTTAGATGCTTTGCTGAAAGGAGTGATTCTAAACCCAGGACAATTTGGTTCTCCGTGGGGGTCATTAGGCACTCATCTGATTGCCACAAATTGGGGAGCAGTGACTGGAAGACATAGGTGATTCTAAATATCCAACAATGCACACTGCCACCTCCACCGCGAAGAACTATCCAGCCCCAAATACCAGGAGCGTCCAAGATGAGAATGTCTCACTTAAAGAATTTAAATTTAAAGAATCCCTCTTTTGAAAGGACCTTTTAAAGTTTCACTATACTCCATCTAAGGCTTATTTATAAATTCAGTGTGTAAGCATGGGACAAGTAAAAGAAATATCATACACAAGTGAGGAATAACAGCATTTATAAATTCCCAGCAGGTGGTGCTAAAACACAAGTAACAATCCAACATCTTTCAGCCTCCATTTCAGAATCCAGTTGCTCTACTTTGCTATCCTCTGGTAAAATAATAAGCAGAATTTTTCAACAGGGGTCTCACCTTTTGGCGCTTAGTGCTCCCCACCATCAGAATTTTTATGCAATAAGTTAAAATGAATAATGACTAAGACAATCTGGAAGATAAAAGGAATAGAGCCAACTCCTCAGTCAGCAACAGATTTGACATTTTCTGTAGCAACAAAGGTGTGGGGGAGTCTTCTAGCATCTTACCTTCCTTACCCAACTTTGGCTGGACACCTGGTCATAAAGTACAAAGTTCGGTTCCTTTATCCTTAGGATGGCCAAGCAATGACATTCAGACCATTAGTAAGATATAAGCAGAAGTATCGGCAAATCCTAAGGCAATGTTTCTTAACTGGGGGATGACTGACTTCAGGTGGCATTTGTCAACACACAGGGACATTTTTAGTTGTCAGAACTGGGACATGCTACTGGCATCTAATGAGTAGAGGCCAGGGATTCTACTAAATATCTTACAGTGATAGGACAACCTTCAGAACACACAGTTATCCAGTCCCAAATGTGAACAGTGCCATGGTAAAGAAACTCTAACTTAGAGGAAAAGACAACACTACCGTTTCTCCTTCACTCCCTCCCACTGGTTGGAAGAAAGGAACAGTGGTGTGCCATCTTGAACCATGTGAGCCAAGACAAGAAACCAGGCAAGGTAAAACAAGATAAGTAGAATTTAAGTCTCTTTTCCCATGGAACTGCCATGCTACTCTGGATTTCTTACACACAGATTACCAGAAGAGATGGGAATACACTTCTCAAGGGTTTGAGCCACTCTTCTTCTGAGTCTAGAAATATGTTAGGTAACACTATAATATGCAAGAGATGGATGGAGGAGGGAGGGGAAGAGAGGAGAGGAAGAAGTAAAAAGAATTAAAATGTGTTATGTATATGTACCAACTCCCCACAAAGAATGTAATACTTATGAACTGCAAACTTGTACTAATAAAAATAAAATCTTAAAATACATATATAGTATATACAATGATACATATACTTTTTGCATATGTACATGTGGATTTTTTTCATAGTATTCCAAAATACCTATTTGAATCTTGTCTTGTTCATTTTTTATGGGCCCCTCGTCTCTTTCTCCCTTTTATCAGATCCCTTTCTCCTTCCTCCCTCTTATAATATTGGTTTCCTCCTTGAGGCCAACTGGCTTACCAGCTCAGTACACACCTAACTTTTCCAGAAGACACACACTCCTGCATTCCTTTTCTATACAGAGATAACTGATACCCTTTCTGAACAGTGAAGGGACAGTTGAATCTAGAATTAACCATTCTGTGGTAGGAAACAGGGAGATAGACTTTGTGGAAATGGGAAAAGGATCTAAAGATGGGGAGAGATGGCAGGGAGGTACTGAGAAGGGGATCAAAATGTGGAATGTACCTGTACCTATATACCACAGTGAGTATATTCATTGTGCATCACAGATATATGCTATTAAGTTTTTTTTTTTGTTTTATAACAATACAAAACAAAATACAATAATCCCCCTCAGTATATACAGTTTCAGGCCCTTATTTGACTATATTTTCTTCATATAACATAAAATTGTACTATTTCACTCATTATCTCTGTTCTAGCCAACAACCTTATCTATAAAGTTCACCACTGTATATCTAGTAAATACTACTCCCAAATAGAATCAGAACGATGCCACACATATAACTTTAAACGTCTGAATGTCCACAGTAATAAAGTAAAAATATAATAATGAAACTAATAGTACTAGTTTACCCTAAGCAGTCCTTTCCTAAAGTGTTATCGCTACAGTTGAAAATTTGAGATATTTTATATTTTTCATACTATTTCATTATCCAGTGTGTAATTCATCTTGACAGCGCATGTCATTTCTCACAGACACTTCTTGCTAGTATCCATCACAATGCAAAGTGGAGATATAAAATAGTACTTGGCACACAGTGTCTAGTATATATTTGTTAAAAAATATTCTTCTGTACTATTTTGATGTTTCTGTAGTATAGGAATAATATGGTAATAATGTCTCACCATTGATACTAATTGTCTTATTTTCTCTTGTTGAGCATTGTTTCCAGTTTTTACTTTGTAGAATAATTCTGTAATTAACATCCAGTTCATGCCTATTTTTCCTTAAATTCCCACAAAATATACCGCCTCTTTAAAGCTCACCATGTTTTGCCAAGTTATTCTCGCCCCAAAAAATGTTCCACTTAAACTTCTAGTGATTTATGTTTGGTTATTAAGGACTCTCCTGAGATATTAACAGACAGAGACTGCTAATGACTATTATAACAAAATATTAATAGGTACTACTTTTGTCTGCTAAAATGCACACTATATATTAGATTATAGATGTCTCAGGGATGAAAAACACCAGGCTGAGGAAGTTAAACAAGCTAAACACTGATATTACACTCAAACTCATTACTGGGTCAATCTATTAAAAGCCACGGGAATTCTGCGCTTTCGGCTCTTGTTAACAAAACAAAGTAGCAAGGAAGAAATCAACTAAAGAAAGACACGGGAACAGTGGACAGCAAAGTAAAAAATGAACAGCAAATCCGACCCTCGAATTCCCACCCATGGGTGTGGATTCTCCAGTCTAAAGTCCACCAGTTCCAGTCCTAGCCTTAGAGCCCAGCCAGTTCCTAGCAGTCAGCTCCCGGAACTGGGTCACACTCCGCCCCACACTCCGCCCGCGGAGCGGATTCCCAGCCCCAGTCCCTCCTCCAGCGTTGCGTAGCCCTGGACGCGAAACTGACGTCCATTACGCAGCAGGACTTCCGGCGCGCAGCGGTCACGTGGGTCCATGCCGGAAGCACGCCCCTAGTTTGCCAAGCAACGGCAGGCCCCTCCTCCTCCCTACAGTCCCTGTCTCCCTATGGAAAAGTTGGCCCCTGCTCGCCCACCGCCTGAGATCAGAAAGCTGCGTGCCCGTGAGGTGACTTCGGGGGCGGCTGGGTTTCTTTTCGGGAATAAGGAAGGAGCCAGCAGCCTGAGGCCTGGCTTCTTCTGAGGCAGGGAGAGCGGATGTCTTAGTAGTGGTCACGTTGTTGTAATTAATCACCATCAACCCGCGGCCAGAAGTGGGGCCTCAGGCTCAGGAGATTCCGAGTCTTTGCAAGTTAATTGTTAAACTAGTCCTAAAGGCGCTCAACTCTGTTGTGCTTCAGAATCACTTCATGGTTGTAACAAATTCCGCTGCTTGGGCCCTTATCCCTGACCAGTTGAGTCCGTATTTCTAGTCAATATGGAAAAAATTTTAAAGGATCCCCAGGTGATTGTACCATGCGGAGAATCACCTTATTAAGCTAGTTCGTTAAGAGAACTCGGATTTCGCCCGTTTGACCAATATCTAAATGGAAAATCACCCAGGACACATCCGTAGAAGGATGTTTATGATATTGCCCAGTCTGCTAAAAAGGAAGGGTTCACTTTCTTTCCCTTGCATTTTGACCTCCGTGAAAGGTCAGTTTTTAGTGGAAATTCTGAGAACATTTGACGGCACCCCTCACACATTAAAGGTGGAGAAAGCCATTGCCCAGTTTCCTTGGGAACCAGTGGTCAATGAAGTGCCTCGTAGCTCTGAAATCCTGTGAGTCCCTTAATACAGTTTAGATGGTCCTAACTAGTTTTATTTTTTCAGAAATGGTTAAGTTTCTTTTACAGGCTAGGCTCAGTATTCAGGTATTTTTTCACATTAAGTCATAATGTTTGAAAGAACTGAAGATTAATAACACAAACAACAGGTTATTCTCACCACTCACATAACTTATGGAATTAGAGATACCCTTTGAAAATTCAGTTTTTACTGATATGAGTTATCAGAGTAACAGTCCCTTTGGGATAGCAGTGTGAGCAGAAACTATGTATTTCATAAGATTCCCAATACTGTTATAAGCGTAAGTGAAGTCAAGTTCACAGTGAGAGCATAAATCCCTTCTTTATGTGCGCTGCCTTCCTGGGAAAGTATGCAAACTAAAGTTCCAGAGAGACATTTTCATTATAAAACTATCTGGACAGTGAAGGATTATTTTGTTTCTTAGGACCCAACATTTCAGATAGGTTGAGATGAGTTTGGGAGAAAATTGAATAACTAAAGCTAAAATGTAGGTTGGAGAGCTTACAGAGTAGTTATAGAACTCTTAAACTACTTCCTTACAATAGGAAATCCATAGAATAGTTTGAGAAGTGAGTACACAATGAAACTATAGTTGGTTCAAAGGCAGGTGAGTTGAAAATATCTTGGAAACATGCTAATGTATTTAAACGATTGCTTTCTGAAAAGATTTTACGTGTTATAGAGTAGAAACAGAGAAAGGTATTAAGATACAGTATACATTCTCAAAAACAACTTCAATGGGATCTAAAAAGGAAAAAATTAGCTTTTTGTTTTCCTTGGAGGAAAATGGGATATTTAAAAGGAATGAAATGTAGAATCTATGCTTACAAGTAACTAAGTGCCCAAATGTGTGAGGTGTGGTGAATGCTGCATCAATTCAGAAAAGAGAAACAAACATTAACATGGAATTACTATGATAATGTTTATAGAAGAAATTTTTGAAATAAAACTCTAGAAGCATAAAAGTGGCTTTAACCATTTCAGCTAGTCAAGGTTTTTGCTAGGAATACCCTTAATTTGTAGTACTACCTGCTTATTGAAGCCTCTTTGCTTATGGTCATATTAAGTTTTGCTGTATTTTGAAGCTATGTCTGCAGTGAAATGAACACATCTGTTTCTTCTTTGAACTGTGTCATCATTGTTACAGTTACCCCAATTTTCAGTTCTCTCATTGCCTTTTGTATTCGCGACCTAGAGGATATTTTTGCTCTGCCGTGGCCTCATATTCACTTCTGACTGGATACTAGTCACATGGTGACTCAGTGAACTTGCAAATAAATCCATTCAGAAGTCCATCACCCTTGCTGACAAGTTAAACAATGCCCTGCTGTGGGTGGAATGTCATTTGTATGGGGAAAAAGAGAATTGTTAACTGTATCCTTTCAATCTTCTTCCCTATGTTGTGTCTTCTTTATGGCAATACTTATTGGCACATCCTAAAGAGGTTAAATTGGGGCTGGCCAGTAAAAGAATGAAAAGAAGTCAAACTCATTGTTTGGCACCCCTCAGCTTTAAAGTAGCTATTAAAGGCTTTCTGATCTCAGTAGCAGGCCTGTGTCCAGCAGAAAGATAAAGCTTGCACTTCTGTGGGTTGAAGAAGACCCTTCAGATTGTGTCATCTTAGATATCCAAATAACTAAGCAAGCACCGTGCAGAGCCACAGAGCTCATGAGGGACCAGAATTCCCCAGTCTTAGCAGCCAGCTAGGGCCAGGGGCAAGGCTGCCTTAAGAGATGGGGCAGCAAGCAGTGCTCTCCAAAACTTCCCTTTTGTTATTTATAAGGTTGATGTTCCTATCAATCTGTGTATTTTTTAAAGTTTTATTAGTACATGTATGCAGTACATAATGGTTGTAGTCATCATGGGAAGTTAGTCCATGTACAAAGCATCTTTATTCTTTTTTCATCCCCTTTCCCCCTCTTGGTCTCCTTCCCCTCTGCAAAAGGCATCCTCTCCAGTGTGATTAGCCTTGCATGTACAGAGAGATTTCTTAGAAGGTATGACTCAATTTATGTTACTTAGATTTCTTACCATACGTTCATTTCTTTTGTAGTAGTCTCTAGAAACTACCTTCCTTCTGCATAGAAACAGTGCATACTGAGAGTCTTGAATACCAAACTATCCAATTGGCTCCAAGAGCCAAGTCAAAGGGAACCTTTAGCTAAAGTCACTGATTTAATGAGTGAGTTTTCATTTTTTAATTCTCAGAATTCTATTGAGAAAAGAAGATAGGAAAATCTACTTACAGAGTACACATAGTTTTGGGAGGAATTGTGTTTCTGTTTTATTTATCTGGTGTGCATGATACATCCTAGATCCTCTATTCATAAGAATAGAAATGTGCACTAAAAAGATGTATGTGACACTTCCTTTTGACAGTACCATATTGCTTAAATGTAGAATTGTTTTAGTACACTTGATAGAAAAAGTCACATTTTATCCATCGAAAACTATAGTACTCTTAACTGTTGTCTTCATGTCTGTTTATGCATTTAAAATATATCTTTCAGATTCACTGCAGAATAAATGCACGTTTTAGAGCGCCTATATGGGAAAAAACATCATTCAAGATTGGAAGGCTCAGCCTTGCCTGTAGGCCTCAACAGTGTTTAGTGAATGACCTCAGCCCTGTTTTTTTCCCTTCCTGCTTTGGTGGTTGAGGACAGACAATGAACGGTCTCTGTACTCACCCTTGCTTGGCAGGGTGGTGGCGATTAGGCCATTGTGCTCACTGGGGGGTGGGGTTGAGGGGTGGGGGGTTGCTGCCCGGTCTGTGTGGATCCTGGCCTTCCCTGTCATTGCTAGTCTCTTTTCTTTTAGTTCCACCAGCCACTAGGAGAAAAGTTACTGTTCAGACCAAAGGGGCCTGTGCTGTAAAAGAGGATACTCTTCCTGGGAGGTGGGAGATTAAACATAATACTGAGACCACTGGCAGGGCATCCCGTCTGCTGCGACCATCAGCTCTTTTCCTGGAGAGGTGGTAGTTTCTGAAAGTGTTTCTATAATGCTTAGAATTATTTTAATGTTGGCTTTTCAGAAACCCAAGCGTTCTTATTAGATCCTTACACTCACCAAGTGCAGAAAATAACCGGCTTTTAAATGGGAAAGGAGAACAGGGGAAGTAAAAAGAATCCACATATGAGGAACATGTACCAACTCCCCACGAGAAATATAATCATTATGCACTGCAAACAGGTACTAATAAAAATGAAAAATAATAGTGTAAAGAAACAAAGTTAACAGGATTCATTTGCAGAGAGGGTTCTCTTCTTCCCTTGGGAGCTGACAGGAACTGATTAACTGACCACTTAGCAGGAAGAACATGTATTCCTTATGAAGCGTAAATGCTCAGAACTCTGCCCTACATGGTGTCCTTGTTGTGTCCCTATCTAGCATTGACAGCTGGGTCCCTGTCAGAAATCATGATAGGCACAGCCCATGCTTTCTAAACCCAGTCCATTATACTGTGTTGCAGTTTGGTTTGGTTTTGAGATTAAGCTTTAAATGTCTATATAGACCTTGGAGAAGTAGCATGATTACCTTGTTTTAGTCATGAAAGCTTTTCTTTTAATGCCAAATACTAAGAACTGGTTGCCAAAATTGATGTTGTTCATAATCTGTTTTCTTGTTTCTACTGTCTTTCTCTGAACCTAATCATTTATAAAATGTGTGAGAATCACACCATTCCCCCACTGAAATTGCAGGCAGAAAGCAAGTAGTAGTTCGGGTGCTCAGTGTATCGAGGGCAGAATATACAACTTAGTAATATGTATCCATAGAATGGGTAGGCAAAAGATAGCTCATAGGGAGGTAGAAAGTGTTCTTACATACTTTAAAGTGTAATTTAGTGTGTTTTTATAAAAACAAAAAATATGAATACTAAATGAAAAAGATCACATGTGGCCTATAAGCCTAAAATTTTTACTGTCAGGACCTTTACTGAAAAAAAAATTGCTACCATAAAATAATAAGCTTAATACTGAAAACACTGAGCTAATAATAATTATAGAACTCTGTGAAAGTTGCTATTCCTTTAGACGTGTCTTTCTGTACTTTTATATCATTGAGTGTTTGAGAGATTGACTTGTATATTCAAATCAGTGATTCAAAGTAATTAAAATATATGGTGGAGGTTTAAATTAAAAATATTACATAAAAAGGCATCCCACCATTAATTCCCTTCCCTTTGAGCACTTTCTGAAGCAGTTCTGGAAGTCTCCTTTTGTGTGTGTCTTTACAAAGTGTAATCATAAATACAGTGAATGCTGCTGCCCTTGTATCTTATTGATAGTGAACACCCTGGGCTGCATCTGACCTGCTTTGGGTTGGAATGCTGGAAATGGCTTTCTTCAGTCATCTCTGCTGGTTTCCCTGGCTTCTTGTGCTGTAGTAGTGTATCAAGGCAGTCTTTGTACCAAAGTATTTGTTGAACCAAAGTCATAAGCAGCCTCTCTTTAAATTGGTGGTTGTTCCCTCTTTTTAATCACAACTACTAACATTTGAGCAGCCAGGAAAACATCATAAATTATTCTTGGACACTTTCAATGGGCGCCTAACCCTCTGGCTTTGCCAAAGCAGCTTCTCTCAGCTACCTTATGGATTTTCAGAATGTTGGTGCTACTTTAACGCTAGCCTGGATTTTCCCACCTATAGTAGTAGTAGTATTTGGTCCACTGCAGTGTTCCATCACAGTGGTGTTTATTACAGATGTGAACCTATCAGACTTCCCAGTTGGAGATGATTGGCCTCGTTCTAACTAGGCATAGTGACTTATAAGGCACAGCGAGAACTCTGGATTCCAAACTCTTTAATTTCCAGAAGCCACACAGATGTCTTGTAGACTTTCTAATTTAATTCATATGCTACTTGTTAATCTATAAAAAATTTGATTAGGAAACACATGGAGTTCGCTTTAATGTCATTATGTACAGCAGGCTCTCTGAAAGCTATTCAGATTTTAGTGGCAGAAATATGAAACCTTGCTGCAGTGAATTAGCCACTTAAAGGCAGCACCTTCCAGTTTAGCACTCAAGTGTGTACTGATTCTTGCCATTATTTCTTGTGTTTGCTGTATTTATTTGGGTGAAAAGACACCTAAATATTGACTATTTTATATTCAGTAGCCTGTAAAGCACATAACAGTTAGCTAGGTATTCAGGTAGGTGTTCATGTTTTAAACATTTAAGTTGTAGATCAAACTTGAACTGAATTTATAACTTTCACCATGTTTGATAACTTTTTCTGTTTATATTCACTGCAAGTGTGCATATCCTAAATTTAGGACAGGAAGTGGGAGGTATTGACTGTGTTTAAGAGAAATTTTGAGGTTGTATCTACCTCCTTAGAAATACCCTGTTTGAAAGCTTGTCATATTAAAGGGTGTGTGAATGGGTCTCTTCAGGCTAATTTTTCTAATTCTATTTACATGTTTATCTTCGTTTTTGTTTTTTGAGAGAGGATCTTACAACTTACTGTGTAGTCAGGCTGGCCTCGAACTCATGACAATCCTCCTGCCTCAGCCTCCTGAGTGCTGGGATTATAGCATGAGCCACTACACCCAGCATTTTTAGGCTGTATTTTAAAAGATGAAGTGCTCAGTTTAACATCTCAGTTTTTAACATGATCATGTGAAAACCACCTGATAGAAATTTCAAAATGTCAAGTTTGTTTCTTAAAGGTTAGAGATTTTTTAATTCTACTCTACAAAGGAAAGTAAGAAATACAGGAGGTCTTCAGTATATGATTTCCAAGGCTTCAAAACCTAAGTAACTGTTTGTTTGGCATTTCATTATCAGTAGCTGTGTCTCGTAGAAGCTTAAATATGCATGCTTTTTAGAATATTATTTTTGTTTACCTGTTGTTTAACTACATTATGGTATGGGCTGGCATTTAGCTGCTCCAAACCTCTGAACAGGGGGAGAATTAAGTCTATTTAAATAGGTTATAAAAGGTATGGAGCTGCAGATTAAAACTTTAGAGATTACATTCAGTGAATCAGTTAATCATGACAGGTAAGTAGGTAGGTGGTGGGAAAAGAGTAAATCCCAGCAGAGCAATGCTGTTTGGAGGGACAGTCTGTGTCATGCCTCAGGAAAGTTTGCAATAGAATAGTTTCTTCTACACAGAGACAGGAAAGACTGTTGGGCCAGGTGACTGTGGTGCCACTCACTATCTGAAATCGAAACTAAGTCCATCAAAACCAAAACAAGGACCTTTGGGGAACTTAAAGCCCCAAGCCCACCTGAGCCTGAAAAGATGTTTTTGTTTAAAGAGGCTTCTGCAAAGCCAAGTGTGGTGGCACACATCTGTAATCTCAGCTACTCAGGAGGCTGAGGCAAGAGAATTACATGTTCAAACCCAGCTAGGCAACTTAGCTAGACCTTGTTTCAACATTAAAAAAGGACAGGAGGTATATACATCAGTGTGAAGGCCCTGTGTTTAATCCCCATTACCAGGACTACAATGATGGGGGCTGTGGATGTAGCTAAATCATAGGACACTTACCTAGGGTGCATGAGACTTTTGAGTTCCATCCCCAGTACTGCAAAACAACAATGGTTTCTGCAAATCCCAAATATAAGGTAAGACCCAATAAGTTTCCAGAATTAAGTAACCATTGACATGTTAAGGACTAGCAAATAAAGTAATAGCTGTAAAAATGTAGTTCATGTTCTGTATATTGTACAGAACATGAACTTTTGTATAAACATCCTGTCAAATATTTATGTGGTTATAATCATAGGCTTGTAGTAGGAAATCAAGTAAAGCGTAAGAGTCCTTTGTTTGAGTTACTCAGTCATGTGGTCCTTTTCAGACCGTGTGGTCATAAGCCAGGTGCCAGGGTCTCGTAAAGTGTTGCATGAAGAATGAGCATGGTTCTAGAAAGAGGCCACCGCTTACAAACTGCTTTGCAAATTGTAAAATAGCCACAACTATCCCCCAGCCATACTGATCACACTGTGGTTCTTCTTTCCTAGTGTGAGAGCCCATCTGGACTTTCACCACCAGAGATGGCCTCAAAGGTAAGATTACCTTTTTGTCTTACATGAGTTCAAAAAATTTAGTCATTAACTTCTTGATATTCTCATCCCATGATGAAGAAGATCAAACAAATGCAGGTTGAGCATCAGAAATCCAAATACTCAAAATGATCCAAAATCTGAAACTTTTTGAGCTCTTAAATGACTTTCAAAAGGTTTCAAATTTTGGAACATTTCACATTTTAGATTTTCAAATTAGGAATGCTCAATGATAGTATATGAAAACATTCCAAAATCTACACGATAACTGAAATTTCAAATTATGGTGCATTAATTAATACTGGTCAGCTTAGGACATACAGCTGAACTGAGTATGCGAGGTTCTTGGGTATAGATGTCTCACCTGTGGACTCTTGCAAGTGGCATAAAAGGAGAACTGAAGGAAAAGATGGTGCGCTGTTGATTCTCCTGGAGAAGGTTGTCACACTGGCTTTCCTGATATGAATACAGTTATTCTTGTCATCCAAGGAACTCGGGTCCTTGCCGTCACTGAGGATGGCTGCAGCTCGCTTCAGTGGAACTCGGGTCTCTACCTTGAGTGTTGCCTGCTGGCACAGATCCTTCATCCTACTGGCAAAGACATTCTAGCTTTCACCACTGACCTTTGGGCTTTTGCAGTGCAGATTCTTGATACAGAATTATAGGAAGGACATTGTCATGGGTTCTAGGTCTTCAGCTGGACTCCTCCAGGAGCCCATGGGTCCAGGCCCTCAGCTAGATTTTTTGGGGTCTCTAGTATGTGGACAGATCTCCCTCACTCCTCTGCATTTGACTTTTTTTGGTGAATATTATAAAATAATCCTATAAATTATGTGTCCTGTATTAAATCTATTCCCTTGCAAACCCTCACTGCAACAGAAATGCTTCTGTCCCAGGCATTTTGGACAAGGCACGTTCAGCATACGCATCAGAAAACTAAAAAAGCATTAAGTGTATTACTAAACATCTCTCATCCCAGACATCGAAGAGTGGACTTGGACAAGTCAGTTTAGGGAGCAGAACAGGAGAAACCAAAGGCTATCACAGTCTTTTAGAACTGACAGTCCATTTCTAACTTAGAACTAGTAAAGATAACCAAGATGATAAATGTGGAATCTTTTATCTCCCTCTTCATCTTTTCTAAAAACAATCATTATTAGTGTCTGTCCTCATTATAAGTCTCTAGCCTTAACAAATTGTGTGTGTGTGACTGATGTACCCATATAGAGTGCATATATTTGGTTTCTTTATTGTGGGTACAGGGCTGTCTTCTACGTTTTTTTACCCCACTGGCATTCTCAGTAGAATAGAGATTTAGTAGATTCACAGTAAATAGCTGTTGGTTAGTTGATGAAACATTGAAACATCTCTCGAGGATCAACTGTTTGGTGACTGACCTATGCTTCCCTTTATTTTGTAGGCGTCAACATCAGACACTGCTGTGTCTTGGTATTCTCATCCAATATATGCAAGATACTGGCAACATTATCATCATGCAATGACTTGGATGCGAAAGCACCAGATGGCTTACAGGAAGGCCATGGGAGCCTACTATGGTTTCCCATGGTACTTGGAAAATACACACCAAAGCTCTTACAATAACAATGCTGGGTATCCTTGGTCCTATTATGACCATCACAGGACCTGGATGAACTACAGTAGCTATTCCCATTACAAAAGGTCTGGGCAGCCTGTACCTGACAGTGGTAGGATCCAGCCCCCAACAAGAGAAGACCAAGCTTTGTTGGAAGAGGAGGAGGTTGAGGTAGAATCGGATGACGAGATAGAATATGACCTGAGCAATATGGAAATCACCGACGAGCTCCGCCAGTACTTTGCAGAGACAGAGAGGCACAGGGAAGAACGACGTAAGTTCCAGCATTTCCTTATGTTGGCTTTCCTTGCACTGATTTTACATCTTTTTTCTGCCTGACATATAGTGAGGAAAATGAACCTTATGAAGGTTGATCACTCCACTAGTGTGTTAAGAGTCAACGCACAGCTGCCTGACTCCACTTCCTGTGTGCCAGGACTTATCCCTGAGTTGGCTTGGTTCCTAAAACATCCTGCTTGTGCCACTTCTCAGGGATGTACCCCAAAGACATTCCTAATACTGCACAGATTCTGGATCTTAAATTGCTCCCTGCAGCAGCGTGAACCTAAACAAAGTGACAAAGTGTGCAGTTCCTCTGTTGGAGAATTGCAGTAAAGGCCTAGTATCTCAGTCAGTCAGAAAGCTACAGTTGGGTTTTTAAGTATCTTAGTACCTTGCTGCAAAGAATTCTCAAGATTCAGCAGACCATATGTATTTTAGTATTGGTAACATATACAAATACTTTTCTCTCTAATGTAACCATTATTCAGTCTCACTATTGTTTTTTAGTGGGGTCTAATGGTTTGAAGTTTTATATAGAACTTTCTAATAAGGAGAAACATAGGTGCTGAGAAATGGGCAAGTTTCATTTCCATCTTACACTGTGTTCCTACCAATGGGCTAGGGTTTACCCATCTTTCTTGGATGCCAAGAACTGAGCAGCAGCCTTTCCATGAAATGTCATGTCCCGTAGTATCTGTGCCTGTGATTCTGTCACAGACTACTCAGTAATTTTTCACTTTCTTTTGACTGAACTATTGACTTCTTTGGTTCATATTACAAACTATATCCAAATGAATATTTTAAAAACAGTTTTTAAACAGAGTGTTTCTATAGTGCATAGAGTGTATTTCTTCCCTTGATCTCCAGAAATAAGGTGTACCATTTATCAAACTTCATGCCAAGCAACCATCAGTCTAATTTAAGTGAGGGGGAATAGGCTTTGGAGCATGTGTACATTTGTTTGGAATGCTATTTGTTATAGCTTTCAAAAAGGAAAATGTGAAAGAGCTAGGGTTTATGACTGTAGTACACATACTATAAAGTGGAATAACATGGTTTTCCCATCAGAAATTGACACTTTTACGATGGACATTGCAATTAAGGGTGGAAGCAAACCTTGAGCATCCTAAACGTCATTCCGAATTATCTGCTGATTTAAAATAACCCTTCAAATAGTTAGTATAAAAAAGACAGATGTAAAAAAAATGAAATAATATCTTTACAACCAAATTTGAAAATGTAAACAGTTATGGATATGATTAATAACCATTTCTGTTCTTCCATATTGCCTTTGTCAGGTAGAATTCCCAGCAGGTAAACAAAGCCATGAAAATTACCCGCTAAGTAATGAGAAGCAATGGCACACTCACTGTTATTTGGAATGAAGAAATGATGTCTTTCAGTATTAATTATAAACTTTCAGCGATTATGGCTCTTGTCCCATAGAGTGCTGTACATGCTACAATTCTGTGAGCTGTTTTACCAAATCTTTTTAAATTTGCTGAACTTCATGTCTTCTTAATTGACTGTTGTTTCCAAATCTGCTTATTTTATTCCAAAACTTCAGATTTACTATTTTCATCATTGTTCTGTGTTGACTTGTATTCCCTCAGAAAGATGAACTGGTGTCTTTCTATTCCCCAGTGCCTCAGAATGGGATCTTATTTAGAAATAGGATCTTTGCAGAGGTACCAGAAGTAAAATGAAGTCATGAGGGGGCCCTAATGTTAAGTGACTTGTGCTTTATAAAAAGATGAAAATGTGGACTTAGAGAGAGACATGCATAGAAGGAAAAGATGGAGTGAAAGTTGGCATTATACTGCCACAATCCAAGGGCTATGCAAAGGCTGGGAGAGCCAACTGGGGTGTAGCTCAGAGGTAGGGCACTTGCCTAGCATTCACAAGGTCCTGGGTTCGGTCCTCAGCACCACACACAAACACACAGACACACACACACAAACAAGCTGGGAAGAGAGGTCTGGAACACATCCTTTCCTAACACCTTCAGGGAAAGTATGTCCCTGCTCGCACACTTTGACTTCCGATTTTTGAGCTCCAGAACCCAGAAAGAGTTAAGTTTCTGTTCTTTTGGGCCACATGGTTTATAAGCACTTTGTTATGGCAGCCTTGAGAAACTAATGCAGTCATTCTGTGAGAGTTTTCTTTGCTGCCAAATGCAGTCCATGACTGGGACTGCAAGTAAACCACACATACAGCTTTGGCCCTCTTGGTGAAGAGAATGTGTTACATGTGTGTTTAAAAATAATTGACTAACAAACCATCAGAAAAAAGGAATTTTATGAAACGCCTGGCCACCTCCATCTTTAACCTAACTCCAGGATACAGAGACCACTGTGGCAATGTGGCTCAGATCCCAGGGTTCCGGCCTGCTTCCCCACCTGCTTATTGTCTTGTGGGACCCCTGTCTTCACTGTCGCCACTTTCTCTTCTGTGAAATGGGGATCCTAGTTAATGGGTGATAAGTGCAAAGAAGAAATGAGTTCATACAAGAAGGATCGTAGAATGGTGCTTGGTACAAAGGTCGTGCTCAGTAAATACTGGTAAGGTTAATTGCTAGTAACCCATCCTTTAACCTAGTGTATTGACCATATATGGATTTTGCCTTCATCAGTTTGTCTCGATTAGTGTTTGATTGAAATTCTTTTTTGCTGAGGGGGACCCGGAATCGAACACACAACCTCACGCTTGCCAGGCAGGCACTATGCCATTCAGGTATGTCTCCAACTGTTTAATTGAACTTCTGCCTACAGTGTTTGTAATAAGATATTTTGTGGCTTCAGAAAGCTCGTACGTTTCTGCTCTTGGTAAATCCTTTCAAACTTTTAAAATAATTTAGAACATTGAAAACATGAAAGAATTAAAATTGTGGTAAATGTCAAATTTAGTTACTGACATAGTTTTTAGTTCATTCGAGGACTGTCTTGCTTCCTAAAATGTAATATGGTAATAAGAAAAGAAAATGATATTCCCATGTTACTAATAACACTAAACACAACAGACTTTGGGTTCTTTGTGCCTTTAAAACGCATAGTTGGGGCTGGGAATATAGCTCAGTGGGAGATAGCTTGTCTCTCATGTGCAAGGCTCTCTGTTCAGTCCCCAGCAGCACAAAAGAATAAAAATAAATGTGTAGTTAGTACACAGTTCAGAACTATTTGTCCTAGAGTCCCTGCAGTTGCTTTAATGTCCAGTGGCCTTCCCTGAAAGCATTATCAAGTCCCTGGCAGATGAGAATTGTCTGGTGAGGTGAGAACTTGGTATGATACAAGTTCTGAAGATTTGGTATATGTTAGGAAAAGCTGCCAGGGCCTGATTCTGCTCCAGTAAGAAAATAACAGGCGGCTGGTCACTAACATTATTGTTGTCACAGCCGTTTTGGGGGGTACAGGATGACCATATTCCCTTTAGCAGGAAAAAAGGATAAAATTCATGTGGAAGTAATTTGAATGCCCATGGCGCTTTCCAATCCATTGCCTTCACTAGACATTTTCATGGAAGTTTAGTTAACATACACAGTTGGGAAAAGCTTTAAGAGATAAGGACCCTGGGTAGTGTGAATAATTGGGTGAGGGTTCTTTTGTTTTGTACTGCTCTCTGAACCACTAGAAACTACTTGTTCAAAAAGGTCAAATTCAACTTGAAACATGAATCATTTAGAGAACACAGGATTTTATAAAATATTACTAGCAAGGGAAGACATGGCTGAATTTTAAAAATTTACCTTTTTGGTATTCACTTCTACAGAAACATCTCAGTTATATAATTTGTCATCGTTTGAGTCTTGTTTAATACTTTCTTAGGATAATATACTTCAGACTAGGCAGGATGTTCTTGTTTCTGATTACTACCCTTCCAGATGATCTCTAATTTAACCTCTTTCAATAACAAAAACACAAAAGAACTAAGAATTCCTTTTGTGCAATGGGAGCATATGTGCTTTTGTTTCTGTTACACGTCATCATTTCCTAACACAGTATTTCCATTACTTAAAACATTTAGTGGTAACATTGCTTATGAGAAAGTAGGCAATTGAGAATTTTTAAAGGCCAGCTGTGTTTTCAATTGTTAGGAAAAAATGCTTATCATTAAGTTAAGCAAAACATTCTCTAACCATAAGTGGCCATCACTGGAGACTGCAAGGAATTACTTAAGAGGGAACTTGAAAGTTACTATCTCTCATAGGGAATAAGGCCCTTGAAATAAACACTCACCCTGTTGTCTTGGGACTGTGCTACTCAGATGCTTATTGCCTGTGTTTTGGGGCTAGACACTGGGTCCAAACAGGGACGTGTGTTCAAAGAATATGATAGGCTTTAGCCCAGTTGGGAAGAGGAGACAAAAATCAGATTTGAAATGAAGCATAGGAGAGTGTCTGTGGTGACTGACTGGGAAAGGAAGAGCTTTATGGTGTAGGTGTGGAGTGAAGGAATGCACTATAGGCTCTGAGGGATGGCATCTGTTTCAAATGTAAAAAAGGAGTAAGTCTGCTCCCTGTTTCGACACATGCTGGTCTTTCCAGAGGACCCAGGTGTGGTGTTTATACCTGTGATGTGAGCCATCCGCTTCATTGTGTTCTGCCTCCCTGAGTCAAGATGTGGACTCAAGTCATCATAGTCGAGCCTTCAGTCGGCCAGAGACTCACCTGTTTCTGCTTCAGCTGCCCTCTGTGGAAAGCTCGGCATCTATAGTGAAACTGATGGCCCAGTGTTCCAGGAGCTGTTATGGTTTAGACAGTGCAACTAAAGTATGAAATCAGGGACTGGGGGTTTAGCTCAGTGGCATAAGTGCCTGCCTAGCAAGCTTGAGGTTGTGAGTTCGATCCCCAGGACCAAAAAATAATTAATTTTTTTTAAAAAGTATGAAATTGCACTGAGCACAAGTCTATCCTATGTGTGTGTTTCATCTAATCCAGCTGTTCAGAAGTACATAAAGCCGATTGTTGAAATGATAGATGTGGAAGGTCACAAAAAA